GTGTGGACCAGCTAGATGTCGGAAGTTGGTTACATGGCTTGCCGACTATAAATGTTGCATAACCCGTTTTAGACCCTAGATGGGTTCTCATGCTGTGGTTACATACAGCAGGTGTCGGCAACCTTTTGTCGCTCGCGGCCCAAAATAATGGTTGCAAGTCATTGGCGGGCCTCGCATATTTTTTAAAAGTTGAAAACCGAACGGATGGTACTTTTTATAATAAAGATGAAGCAGTGATACATCTCTTGAATAGAACATAGATCTATCTCGTCATTGCATTGCATTTTTGGCGCTACTGAATCCTTTGCACTCAGCATCAACTTTTCTGCGTTTTGTTGTCATTTGTCTGAATTATAATTAAATTATAGGCTCATTAAACGAGTAATTGTGAATTTTATACTTGATCGATTATAATATAATTTAGTCTAAACGCGTCTCACAGTGAATTGGGTAACGTAAAAAAAATATAATCGTCAAAACAGCTGTTTGTTACTATAATTCAGTGAAGCGCCGCGGGCCGGATTATGTTACTCCGCGGGCCGGATCCGCGTTGCAGACCCCTGTCATACAGTAAACTATTTGTTGCGGATATAAATATACGTCCTCGTCTAATGATTCTAATGTAAACCACTTTTGGAACACTATTTCGGGGTAAGTCTGAGTTATTTTATTTATTACACGAACGTTTATACAGTGTATATATAGATGACAGAAGGCACCCCCTCACCTTTTGAAATATAAAATATAATCATGTTTTGAAAACCGTTATTTTTTTACTTTCGCCCGGAACCGTTAGCTGTTAGGGGTAGGGTCTAAAAAGAAAGATAAATATTTAGCCTCACAGAAACTCGATTGGTAATAAAAGGTTAAACTTCCGTTAATAAGGGCGTTTTTAACACAAAATTAGTAGTTAAATGATTTATTTTATTACTCGATTTATTATTCTGTTATCTTCAACTCGTGAATCTTTTACAATCTTGTTATCATCAAGCATACTTGATTAGTCTTCAAACCATCACTCGGGAAGGCGAATGAGAACGTCGCCGTAGGTCACTCAGCGAATTCGATTAACCCGTGGTCTCGACTTAATTCGGGACTCTGATCAGGGACGTAGCCAGGTAGGTAGAAGGTCGAAACCCCCCTTGTAAAATTTAGTTATTAGTAATTCTAAGTCAATGATGTTTATGACCAGCATAAAAGTTCGAGCGATTCAGGAATCTCATTTAGGTATGTTTGAGTAAATCTGGCCTCGGTCAGACGAATATTTACAGAAATATATTAGTGTTGTAAATCAAATACGAAAGTCATTTTTACTCTAGCTACAGATGTTAGCTACAGAATATAACAAAGATAAGTAATCAGTCTCACAGAAACCAAATCACAATAAAAATTGAAACTTCCGTTAATATGGGCGTGTTTAATACAGAATTAGTAGTTAAATGACTTTTTTGATTACTCATTTTATTATTCCGTTATCTTCAAACTATCTCAGTTATCATTAAACATACGTGATCAGTCTTCACTTCATCGGTCGGGATGACGAATTACAACGTCGACGTAGATAGCGCTTTTGAGCCGCGAGTTTCGTGTGGTCTCGACTTAACTCGGGACAATGGGCAGGGCGGAACCAGGAGGGGTAGTTAAGGGGACGTAAACCCCCTTTTTCGTAACTTGAAACGCTTTTAAGACCCTCAAGACTCATTTTTGTCCGTAACCGCTAACTGGTATTATACTCTGGTATTTTCAAAAAATATATTTGTGTTGTGATTTGAATCGGATAGCCATTGTTACTCTAGGTACAGCAAACCTTGTATTATAAGCATACGGATCCGCCGGCAGTTAAGAATAGAAGAAAGTTGAATAATTAATCTCACAGAAACCAAATTGATAATGAAAGTTGAAACGTCTGTTAATAAGGGCGTGTTTAATACAGCATTAGTAATTAAATGACATATTTGATTGCTCCTTTTATTACTCTGTTATATTCAAACTATCTTAGTTATTACCAAATATACGTGATGAGTATTCAATTCATCGCTCGGGAAGACAAATTAGAAGCCGCCTCAAGTCGCGTTTTCAGCAGCGAATTCGAATGGCTCGTGACTAGAGCAGTGCTTTTCAAATCAAATCATAAATTATTCGAATTCGATTCTGAAATCACCAGGTATTCGCGGATTCTAGCTATTAGTAATTATCAGTCGATAAAGTTTATTGGCAGCAATAAAGATCTAGTGATACAAGAGTCTATTTATGCATGTCTGAGAAAGTCTAGCCTTGGTCAGGCGAAACGTTACAGCAATATATTAGTGTTGTGCATCAAATACAATAGTCATTTTTACTCTAGCTACAGCATTCTTGCATAATATGCATACGCAAACCCCGACATTGAAGAATATAATAAAGATAAGTAATTAGTCTCACAGAAACCCAATTGGCAATAAAAATTGAAACTTCCGTTAATATGGGCGTGTTTAATACAGAATTAGTTCAATTTATTACTTGGGAAGACGAATTAGAATGTCGTATTTAGTCGCGCTTTTTAGCAATGATCGCCCCAGGCGTTTCGTTTACGTCTGAACTTATACAACAGGATTCAGTCACGAGTTGAATGCGTGTCCTTTCGTTGCCGTCAGCGCAGGTGGTTACTTATGTTGATTTGAGATGTTGATGATGTATATATCATGTGATTTCTAGGGTGAGGCTTTGCGACTTTAATAGAAAGCGATTTTTTCCGATGGCAGCGATGCGAACAGCAGTATCATGTATCTGCGAAGCAGCCTTTTTTTGTTATCTACTATACAATTTCCCACTTCATATTTCTAAAATAGGGTTTCCAGAGATATGCTTTTCATATTTATTTTTAAGTAAAACGGCTTAATCGTATGGCATACCAAGGCCTCTCGTTCGGTTACCAGTTCATGTTGGATATGGGATTAGTTAGTCAATGTACTGTTTCAGATGCATGAATATGTTTTCAACGTGCCCCCTCTTAGTGATAGCACTCTCACACTCGTATGCCCAGAATAGAATTCCCATATTTATTTAGGAAGAGATGAAAGTTGGTAAGGGGACTCATTCATATGGAGAGCCATGGACTCTCGTTTGAGTATCAGTATCAGTAGATATTAACTAGTTAATTGTTTTAGGTGTCAGAGGTATGGGCTTACTCGAATACTAGAAGGATTGTGTTATAAAGTAATAGAATTCGGTGTGTTCAGTTTAGTGCAGATGTGAAACGTTAGTGAAACCAGTGGCGTTTGTATGGTAAGGCAGCCATGGCCATGGGTTCCGTTTGGATTGGGCGCAAAAAAGATAAAGAGTTTTAATCGTAAAATGTTTCGATAAAATAATTTCGAATTGAAAATATTTTGAACTTGTATTTTTATTTGAATAATAACGAACAAGTGTCTCAATTCAACAACAGTCGTCAACGATCAAGAGGAAGTATTTTTCAAACTTTGCCATAAGCGTTGTTTTACGTAGATACGCCACTGAGTGGAATAGTTGAAGTAAATTAAACCTGTGAAGTAGTGTTCATGATAAAGTAAGGGTCAACGTTTTTGTGAGATTTTGCTGAAAGCAACTTAACGTTTTCAGAAATAAAGAAACTATGAAACAAAATTAAGGACGAATTCTATTGAGCCCAGAGTACTGATACTGATTCATAGATGTCGAATAAAGCTTGAAAAAGTTTAGGTTTGATTAAAAATCAAGGAAACTGCCAAATGCTAATGACCCTTTATAGATAATTACACACACCTCGTCTCTTAGCAAAGTTACAGCCTAACACCGAAATGCTAGTTTAAGAATATGGTAAGTGATTCTATAGTCTTGCTGGACATTAACACAAATATATTTCTGTAACGTTTCGTCTGACCAAAGTCAGACTTCTTCAGACATACATAGTAGTGAGACATACATAGTAGTCTGAAGAAGTCTGACCTTGGTCCGACGAAACGTTACAGAAATATATTTGTGTTAGTGTGCAGCTGGACTCTTGAATCACTTAGGATAGCTACTCTTGCTACAGCATCCTTGCAATATAAGCATAAGGATCCGCCGGCACAAAAGAATAGAAGAAGGATAAGTAGTTAGTCTCGCAGAAACCAAATCATTAGAAATATGGACTTGAAGAAAGAAGCTAGTAACGCAATGAATTCCAAATAACCGAGAGCAGCGCCGTAGTCAAGGGGTTGGTTGAGAGTGTCCCTCCCCCACATTTAAAAAAATTTTGTGTTTTGTATATAGCAATTTTTCGTAGCTTGAAACGCTTTTAGACCCGTGAGCAGGGGTGGGCAACTTCTCTAGTCAGCGGGCCGAATGTGGGAAAATGAAGTCCTCGGTGGGCCAAATTATAACATGAATAGTATTCAATATCCTAATCACATGTTTAATCGCCAATGCAAGAAAGAAAGTTATGAATCGCGTTTAAAGTAAAGTATAAACTTTACTAAAAATAGAGACCAAAAACACATAATGAATTTATCATAATGTACTAAAAGTGTAATACTGTAATATCATATTGTACAGTCAGCGGGCCGGTCAAAATCTCGGGTTCCGGCCCGCGGGCCGTATGTTGCCCACCCCTGCCCTAGAGTCTCTTGAAACCCCCTGTTTTCCGACCGAACCAATTGGTTGTTACGGTCCAACTTGGCAATTAGAAATTTCAGAACCGCCATTTTTTTTTGAAGATTTTTGGCTACGCCGTGACTGAGGTTTTTGGGAAAAAAAAGTTTGTTATAAAAATTCCTTAGTCTAGATGAGGATACACTGACTGTAAACTGATTAGAACTCCCTGAAATCCTTTTTGGAGAGAAAGAAGAGTTTAAAAAGGAAACACAGCTCGTTATGATGTCAAAACAATAATCACAGCAAAGTAATATTTTGGTGATGGAGTTTAAACGGCAAAAGAAAGCCAAAGGAAATTCATTTTTGATTTTCGGTCCGTTCGTTTTGAATTTCCTGATAAAAACTTACAATGATTCTTACTTATATTTCGACGTTCTTTCCCAGTTTTAAACTTTATTACCTAATGTTGGGTTGAAAGAGATATGTTTAAAGGTCTTAGAGGACTGAAACTGACTTCCAAGAAAAAGCAGGAAGACGGAGGAACAGCGGGAAACCAAGAAGGAAAGAAAACAAAACCACCAAGACCAGTTAAACCTCCAAAACATAAGGGTATTTTTTTAATGGAATATTAACTGAAAAAACAGAATGCACAAATATATGTCGAATCTGGAGTCGAATTTCGATGTCGAATTTCTCAATTGGATCTTTTGCTTTAAATCAGGGGTCTCAAACTCGCGGCCCGGGGGCCAATTTCGGCCCACAACACGATCGTTTGTTGCCCCCGCCTTAGTATGAGAGTTTAATATTAGTATGCCACTTAGCGCAGTTTGAATGATTAATAATTAATACATTTAATATAACTTTTATAAGTTTTTCGGATTTTTGACGTCACTCACAGTCACTGATTATTATTGCTTGATATCTTCAGGCATTCTTTTTTCATTTATTCATTTTTTCATTGATGTTTTCAACATGTTTTGTGTTTAAAAAAAGAAATTTGAGAAGATATGAAGTTTTTAAACTAAGATTTTATTGGGCAAAACCTGATGCCATCCAGACGCAGGCAGACTCTGCCTCCGGTTGTCCCTAGGTGAATTGAGTTTGAGACCCCTGCTTCAAGTTATTGTTGCTGACATAAAAATTGTGCGGTATCTATTTAACATCACAACAGTCGTAGTTTGATTCCATATGGTGCTGTTCGCGACTGTCGAAATCTTCTTTATTTTCCTTATTATACAATATTTCTCGTAAGACAAAAATAAATATCTATATCCAATACAATTTACAGTCCCAGCTCTGAAGAAATTCAAAGAAACTATGGGGAATCTTACACCGTCCATGTTCCATGGCCAACACTACATTGAAAACATTGAAGAACATGCTACGAAAGTACTGGCAGAATTGGAGCTAATGAGGCAAAACGAAACATTGTGTGATGTCACAGTGACTAAGTGTGACGGCACAAAGATGAAAGCTCACAAAATTGTCGTATCGTTCAACGAAAAACTATTACAGGTAGGTCGGCATATATTGATAAAACATATTTTTGTCTATGATATCCTAGAGTCATTTTTGGGCGTCAATAACATGGCCAAGAATTTAAACGTAAAAATTTGGGCGAGGACGTAGAGTCATATTATACAAGACTGATTACATAATACAAAAGTTTGACGTCATAGTCACAAATGAATGGCGTCATAACACAAAGGCATGGCTTCATAATACAAAACTTATGCATTAGCATCACCTATATAAATTGAAACGGAGCCGTGTTATAAGTATAAGTTTATTTAGACTTCATAATCAGCATAATAGACGATAAAATATTTAATAAAAACAAAATAAATAAAACCAATTCCAGAATCAGGAAAGCGAAAAAAAACCTCAAAAAAGATGAAAAAGTAATATAGCAGTAATCACGTGGCAATATTTAACTGTGCAAAAGTCTTGTGTCATACTTTCACAAATTTCATTCTGTCCGCTTTAATCTGACCACAAGGAATAAGGATTGATGGTTGTGGACTTCATGTTGAAGACCCATTGTTGCCAAAATCATTGTATTCTTTCCCGCAAATAATCGAATTCGAAAAACGAAATATTTGCAATAATATGCTTGCACGGATGAGTACAAAACGAAAAACTGCATAAATGAGCGGTGTGGCTCATCGCGCTAAGCGTTAGGAATACGCTCGCCACCGCATCCCTGATTACTCTGCGTGGGTTCGAATGTTCGAATCCCATGCGGCGATGGTTATGTGCGAGAGGATTGCTGCACTCTTTGCCGCCGTGGGGTGGTTCACGTAATCGCTGGTCAATTACGACTTCCTCCGCCATCAAGTCCATGCTGTCGAAAACAAATATCTAAATAATCCCGTACCCGACATGGAATGGTAACCAGACGAGAGTCCGTGGTTCGCCACATGGTATCCGGAAGAGAGACCGTGGTTCGTCATATGGCTTTCCTCTCCCCCAAGATAAATATGTTAATCCTATTCACCACTTTCTTTTTTAACAATTTAATAAGTATAAGTATAAGTTTATTTCGACTCCATAATCAGCATAACAATACATTTGACAGATAAAAACAAATAAATAAAATCTGATTATGAAATCAGGGGAGCAAACAAAACCTTAGATAAGGTTTATAACGTACAAAATATAAGATGAAAGGTTTTGCCAAGAGGAAGTGGTACGTGTTTACTCACCTAAAATTATCAAGTTATTTCACACACGCTCACATGCACCCACCAGCCACACACACACACAACCACTGAGAAGTTATTTAAGTAAGAATGAAACGCGATAAATTTAGGGTATACTATACAGTAAACAAAAAAAATAAATAAACAAATACTAGAAAAGAAAATTATCTGCCACACCATATTGATATTTTTGTAATGGGTGCCAATGCCAAATTGATCGATCTTCCAATCGTTGATTAGGTATATAAAAGGAAGATTCTATTGAAAACATATTGCCAAGCTGATTATAGTTGGAGTCAAATGCCAAGTTGCCCAACCAAAGTTGCCAGAATTGGGTGCATGAAGAGGTGGGCGAGACCATTTCATTCCCCAAATTAGAGCCTATTATTGCCAAATTATAGTCCAGATTGTAATAAGTAATTAAGTTACCGGTAACAGTAAAATTACTATAATTAAGTAAAGTAGGATGTGGAAATAAATTGGTTACAAAGGGTGTAAGTGAGGTTTTTCATTCTTGGGTATTGATTTCAGACAAGGATATGGGAATGAGGTTGTTATTTCACAGGATATCGGGAGTCTTTTTTTGTTTTTTTCCTTATGTGTTTTACTTCATTTAATCACTTTGAAGTAACCTGAAAAACAAAAAATAAAACTGCGAGTAGATGTTTCAATGATTGGGTGAAGGGGAACGCTCTGAACTATTTATTACAGGCAAAAAATAATTGTTTAATTAAATGGGATGTATTGTCATTATATAGCGATGGATAGATGATCTATGATGACATTCTGCTTGGGACAGAGAAAAATTTATCACACCATGCAAAAACACACAAAATTTTACTATCTATACCTTGGCCAACAATTCACTACTTGGCGATTTTGATAACCTATCCTTATTTTCAATCCAGATGACGATGCAGCCTTCAGAGGAAACAGAACGCCAAGTGGAAAACGACGTCACGTACGGCGTGCATAACAAAGGTTTCAATGAAAACGGAAAAGAAGAAACAACATCGCCTATAAGTAAGTATCTCTCTTTCGCTCCCCCTCTCTCTTTCCCATACGTGAGATTCTATGTCTAGTATATGTGGGTCGTTCTCTTCATTCATGTATCCACCTTCTATATGGAAATTCTATATGCCCTCTCATCTATAAGTGAGTTTTCTTTCTCTTCTATTAATGTGAGTCACGCTCTTTCTGTCAAATTCCTATGAGTAACTTTCTCATGAATGAGTTTTTCTCTCCTATACAAGTATCCGCGTCTTCTTTTTTTTTATCTCGTCTATGAATGACTCACTTTGTTTTTCATAATAAAGTCTCTCTCTCTCTCTTTTCAATAAATTAATTTTCTTCTCTCATTCCTGAACGAGTCTGAATTTTTTTTTATAGGTCTTATAAAATTATTATAAGTCTTTTTCTCCACTTTTAAGTGTGTCTGTTCTTTCGTATTTATGTACAGTATTTATCATCTATACCTGAATAATAAAAATGGGGGCTCCCGAAGTATGCGAACCAAGATGGCGGACATCGGAATGTAATATGTGTACTAGGTTAGGGTTAGGCCATAATTTTAGGTATAAATACTACGGGAGGTTCTTGAATAGTCTTCGAACTGATAATACGACTAAAATAAGGAAAATTGGAAAAAAATTATCGCCTAACCCTAACCTGTTACCCATGTTACGTTCCGATGTCCGCCATCTTGGTTCGCATACTTCGGGAGCACCTAAAAATGAGTGTTTTACTTTTCTTCTGTTAGTGTGTCTCTTTCTTCGATAACTAAGTTTCGCTATTCCTAATTTAAATAGCCTCGTCGGTTAGAGTTAGACTAATTCATTCCCTGTCCATTGTACCTGAATCATTCAGATACAACGGAAATGTCACTCGACAACATTTGCCGAAAATCTCTTAATCTTTTAATCTTTTTCTCTCGGTCAACCTCGCCTTTTCTCATAAAGCCTATTTCTCATCTGACTAACTTCATAAATGTCTTTTCAGTGTCAGATGATGAGGTTGAACTCAACCATCTTCAATCCGTAACCAGTGAAAACGATTTAGTAAAGGGTTTAAACGGCGATGACGTCATCACCCGGGAACGACCCGCCTCGCCAGAGCAAATGCAAACGGATAATATGACCTTAGTAAATGGAGATTCTAAAGAAGTGAAAGAGAACAAATCGGATGAAGTAGAGAATAAGAAAGATGACGTAACGGAAAATTCTGATGACGTCACAGAAACTCAAAGTGAATCTAATAAAACGGAAACTGACGTTAATGGAACAGAAACAGAAGAATCAGAAAAGAATACCGGGGATGATGCAGTCACTGAAAACGGCGAAACTGAAACGCCCGAAAATACTCTTCCGTCCTCTCTAGTGGAAGAACTCACTACACCTACAAGTGAACAAGCTGATTCCGAAAATGCAGACAAAACTGGGAATACCCAAGTTGTCTCGACAAGCGAAACGACTGTAATAAACGGAATTGATGCGAAGTCTGCAAATTTCAAACGATCAGACACATGTGACGTCACCATTGAAGGTGATGACATCATCAGTCCTACGTCATTTGAAGATCCATTGGAAGTCATCATCAACTTTTTCTACACTTCACATATTAATATTACACGAAAGAACGTCACAAAGTTACAAGTAGTTGCTAGGCAATGCGGATTGGATGACGTCACAATGGCATGTGACGAGTTTGAAAATGTTCTTAGGACCGAAACAGAAAGTATGGAGACGCCGGAAGAAAAAGATGCAGCAGCCTCGCAGTTCAGGTAGTTTGTTAATCTTGATTGTTAAAATGAATAGAGCAACGGGTTATTATATATAACGTTTCCATGTCATTGATAATCAACGATAATTCCTTCCAAACTTCTCATATTGTGCTTTTAGGATCGTTTGAAATACACGGACAAACAAAATGTAAACAAATTATATTTATTGGGTCAACTGATAATCTGACCTCTATCTGAATTCCCTTATTGTCATCTGGCCTGTACTATTTCAATAAGGATAGTTATCGCCAAAGTTTTAAGGTTTATTGAATTAAAATATATTTTCATGAAGCCTTCCCACGTAATCTCATTATAAACGCATGTAAGCAAGCTTTGTTCTCAACGAACTCGTACAAGCAGACGCTGTTAAAAAAATATATTTAGATTTACCAACATGAATTTAAATGCAAAAATTCTCTTTTTCAGGTACCAATACTCCGAACCCACTATGGCGGTCAAGATGCTGGAGCACTTTGAGAAATTGCGCAGTCACACACGTCATACTGACGTAATCGTGAACTCACCGAACACATCACTCAAATTTCCTGCTCATACTGTACTCTTGGTTGCCTCATCAAAATTCTTTGCTGAAAAGTTTGTAAACTGCAATGATGTCATCAAAACGGACGTCACAACAGATGGTGACGTCACACATGAAGTTCAAGCCCCAGATTATAAAGATTCCATACTTCAAGGAATGTTACATTACTTTTATACCGCCAAAGTTTCAGTGACGTCACATAACGTACGTCATCTTATGGATGCAGCGAGCAGTTTCAAATGCAGTGACGTCATCGAGGGGTGTGCCGAGTATCTTGAGAGAACGATATCGGTTCAAAACTGCATTGAGATTCAATCCACTGCAGAAAAGTATGATTGCTCCCATTTGAAAGTGAGTCAAACTTGAAAAGTATTTTTTTTAACTTTTCTATGTCTGCTACGACATATGTATGTGAAATCTTTGAATGTATGTGAACCCCATTTTTTATTATTTCTAAATCCCAAGAAATATAGGACAGTCCGATGTGACGTTTCAATTTTTCTTAGAATATCATTTATGTCCTTAGGTATGACATCACTCAAATAAAAACTCTTATATATAAAGTTTTGCATCATATTTCATTGTGCCAAGACCAAAAATGCAGGTTGTTATTAGAAAGTTACAGCTTACTCTGTAATTATCGTCAGAAAATTTTGAAGTACCGACTACGTTGCGTTCATCTTCGCTTGCCATTGTGAAAAGTCCGTACGACTTTCGACTATTTTCCCCCCTATTCGTATAACGCTTGCAACATTTCTTCGTAAAGTCGGAAATGAACAATATACAATCTCAAAAATTATATGTTTCAATATATTTTATGTTTTATTCCAGAACGTTGCTGTTCGATTCATAGAGGCAAACTTCCTTGCTGTAGCGAAAACAAAAGAGTTTCTTACTGTGACGGGTGAATGGATTTCAAGTATTGTTTCATCACAGCGACTCACGGTAGATTTTCCCGCTTCAGAAAGTGAATATCAAATATTTGAAGCAATTAGGAAATGGGTGAACCATGACCTCGTGAACCGGAAAGCGGAAGTGAACGAGGTGAATATTCTACAATAAAATTGATTGTGCTACTATATATAAAGCGAGTTTTATATTCAGGCAGCTACGCAAGACGTGTGCTATCATCATCGTACAATATAATATGTGAATACTTGTTTTGCAATGTGTTCAAAAGTCTCTAGCTCGAATGAAAAACAATTAAATTCGAATTAAAAGGATTCGTGGTGAAACAGATATGTCTCTCAAAAAGGCTTAGTTTGGAATGTTTTGCTAAACTGGTTTTTGTTCATGGTTGTTGTCGTTAGGAAATAGCGATTACTTTATTTCATCCTAATTTCCTTTTGCGCTCCTCGATATTCGCGCAAAATTTTCAAGTTTTTAATTGGAAGAGAAAAGTTCTTTATTTAATCACAAGAAACAGCTTTCGTCACGTTAGTCACGGATCTTTACAGTAAACTCGGTGCTCCAAATTCGCAACATATCGGGATCAAGCGCGACCTTAATGTTTATATATTTGTGCATTTGTTGAACACAAGGTGTAAATATGGATCATTTTGTTATTATGTTGGTGTTGTTGGATGTTCGTAGTATTCGTTTTCTTCTTGTTGTGAAAATTCCCTTTTCTCTTTATTTACTGGGCCAATTGCAAATTGATTCGAAATTTTCAGTGGATAAAGATTGTATATTTACCAGGATACCTCTTACTTTTATTACATTCGAGAATTTATGTGGGCTTCAAGGGATTTTTGTGTGAGATGACGTCATAAAAATGCGCACCCTGTGGCGGTTCCGTTTGCTTTAGTCATAAAATTTGCTGTACGTTTTGGTTTCGTGTCCATGTATTTGAGCATAAGTCTCTTGTATTCACAGGTTATGGCCAATGTACGCATTCCTCTTATCAGCGACCAACATCTAATCAATGATATCAGTACTGATTTATTGATAATGGAGAACGACGCATTATGCAACCGGATATCCGGAATCGTAACCGGAAAATCAGCTTGCAAATTTGATGAGCACGTTGCAATGAGAGGAGAGCGAGAATTTGTGCTGATGATCGGAGGAAGTGCTCCCGTGGTTGACGAGACAAGCGAAGATCGAGGTTCGTTGGTTTCACATTTTGGACAAGAAATCGACATATATCCCCTTATCGATAGACTGCTGTTGTTTGTTGGTTTTGTTGTTGTTGAAAGTTCACTTTCTCAGCAATTAATAGAACAATTGATTTTTATCTTCCAGTACTTGATGATGAAATACATCTCTAGAAAGCTACTAATTTAAATTTTAATTACTCTATCAGATTTCCTCAGGGCCACAGTATAGAACCGAAATGCTCGTTTTGTTTTAATGGAGAGAACGCTTCATTCCGTCGGGCTTGTTTGTTGACTTTTCAACAAATCGATGGTCAGTTATATTCTGACCAGTATAGAATCATATTTGACAATTTTATTTTGTTCAAATTTTATGAATATAGACATCGTGAAGAGCCCGCTGATAACTAGACAGTAAGCACGTTCAATTCGGTTATTCTGTTCATTACTGGCAAAAGTGTCTTCACCGTATAATCGGCTTTCTTCTCTTCTCGAAAGGCATTTAAAGTGAAGCACAACACAATATTATTTATTTTAAATACAGGATATACAGCAGTCGCATTTAGCGATTACGTCACTATGTGTGACGTCAAAAATGGACAAATGAACGAACTGACGTATTTACCAGAAACAAGATCTCTTCATTGTGCCCTCATGGTAGACCATTACGTTATAATCGCTGGAGGATTTGATAAATATTCTTGCATCACAAATGAAGTTTATGCTCTGGATCTGGCAACTATGATTTGGAATAAGCTACCCAATATGAAGGTTTGTTTGTATGATATTCGAAATTACTTCCGTTTATTCGTAAATCTGTCCATCTCTACAAAAAGTACAGGGTGTCCATAAAGTCGGTTCTCAATATATCTGTTTGTTGTTTTCTATTCAGTAATTGTTCAGTAAGTATTTTTATTTCATTTAATACATCTGTGAAGGCTAAAACAATATATAGTATCGATAAATTCCCTTTAACAATTTTCAAAGTTGTTTATAAACACCCTATATGTTCTTTGACATATATGATCTACATTTACGCTGTAAAACACATTCGCAATTTTTTTTAAAAAGACTTCATACACTAAGAAATAAGAACTCCGTTACCTTCTCATTTATTCTGTATATATCAAGCTGGTAAACAGACCAGATAAATGAATTTTGACACTGAATTGTTGCAAATTGGTTTTCAAATCAGTGCGTTATTGTGCCATAAATGTGGTCATTCGGAGCCATTTTATTTACTTCGGAGTACTTTATTTTCAAACTAGTCCCACGATCACTTATTTATTGCAATATAGGGTAAAAGCGAACACCAAGTTTGAACCCGGAATCTATAACATTCTATTTCCTTATTATTAGATCTATTTCAATCCAGGCCAAACGCAGTTGCTTCACCCTTCAATACCTCGACAAATACATATACGCTATTTGAACCGGGAACCTTTAACTATCCACTTCCTTGTAATTCATACCAGGTCAAACGAGGTTGCTTTACCCTTCAATATCTCGATGGATACATGTAAATACGCTATTTGAACCCGGAACCTTTAACTATCTACTTCCTCAAAATTCCTACCAGGTCAAACGAGGTTGCTTCACCCTTCAATATCTCGATGGATACATATATGCCGTTGGTGGTCTGACTCCTACTGGCTACTCCAACAAAGTCGAAAGATACAACAGATCCAAAATGAAGTGGGAATACGTAGCTCAACTACCAAGGACTTATTACAGGTTTGATGGCGACATTACTTTCATGACGTCACAACTGACGCCATAGTTTTATACATTTATTTGACAACGACGTCATAGTTAAATTTAATACAATGTAGTACAGGCGTAATATTTATATTTATACATTTGGTGTTATACTGCTACAAGAAAGCTTTAGACTGCTGTCTGTTGACACTAATTGTTAAGAATCGATAATTTCCGGGGAAATTGGAAAATTACAAATAAAATCTCACTTAATTTTTATGAAAAATGTCTGCTGGATTTACGTCACACGTAAACGTTTACGTCACGCTTCTATTCTTAGTCCTATTTTATTCTGCAAGAGACCCGTCAAATGTTTATTTTTACTTTTGCAAACAGACACGGCGGGTGCGTCTACCACGGTGAAATCATCATTACTGGAGGGAACGATAAATCGACCGACACTCTGAAGTATACGCCATCTAGCGACAGTTGGCGTCCTATGAAGCCGATGAACCAGGGAAGAGACTCCCATGCTATGGCTACAGCGTTGGACAAAGTTTATGTTTTAGGTGAGTAATGCCACCTCCGAAGAAGAGAGCGATGCTTAAATATATGGGCACAAAGTCTAAAACGTAGGCTACTGTAAACTTCACGACTAACGCAAACGTAAGTGCCACAAGGTGCGCAATTTCTGAATAATGGTGACGTTAGTTGTGACGTATTCGCACACCAAAACGACTTCCACAATGCTCACAGAAATTTCTGAAATAAATATAAGTAATAGGTATATGCAATTGGTTCAGTAGTTGATGAAAAAGGCGATTTTTCACAACAAGAAGAAGAAGAAAATAAGAGAAGTACTAAGAACATGATGATCATCAACAACATAATAACAGAACAATCCATAGGTCCACTGCGTTCTTGACGCGAGCAATGCTCTTGCGATAATATTAGGGCGCAATAACAAATATAGATGTCACAATATCAGTAAAAATCTAGCCTAACACATTCATAAGAAAAGATATACCGTGACTAGATAAAATAAAAACGAGAAAATAGGTTGGAAACTGAAGACTTATCGATCGATAGTTAGGGGATCCCCCCATAACAGAAATTGCAGTTTCGATTCATCCGCTCTTGTAACTTGCGCACTGCGCATCGCACACACACACTCGGCGGGTCTCAAAATTCTCTCGCTTTACAAAAATCTAGATCACTATATCAATAATTGATTGATAACTCGCTAATTATACGACATAATTCTCCCAAAATTGATAGGCTTCTGGTCCGAGATAAGATGAATGCACATGCAAAATCTGGAGCAGATTCAATCTCGCTTTCGTGAGATATCGCGTGCATCTAACAGACAAACAGACATACAGACAGACAAATACCTATCTATAGGTATAGACATCGACAGACAAATACCTATTAAAATCGATAAGTAATGAAATTTCTAAATTGCCAAGTTAGACAGTATCAGCTAACGGAGCTAGTGTTTCCAAGAGTCCTGAGGGTCTGAAAAGCGTTTCAAGCTACGAAAAATGGGGCTCCCGAAGTATGCGAACCAAGATGGCGGACATCGGATGTAATATGTGTACTAGGTTAGGGTTAGGCCATAATTTTAGGTATAAATACTACGGGAGGCTCTTGGCTAGTCTTCGAACTGATAATAGAACTAAAATAAGGAAAATTGAAAAAAAAAATAATCACCTAACCTTAACCTGTTCCCATGTTACGTTCCGATGTCCGTCATCTTGGTTCGCATACTTCGGGAGCACCGAAAATTGGAATATTGGTATGGTCCAACCTGGTAAACATACTACACTCCGGTGTCAGCCATCTTGGTTCGCATATTTCGGGAGCACCGAAAAATTGCCACATATGCTACAGAATTTTTTTTTCACATTTTAACCCAATTCCGACCCGCACCTCCCTGGATACGCTCTTTCTGCCCGTACCCGACCAAGCAAGGAGACGTTTACAATACATAGGACCAAATACTTTTTTAATTTGTTTGTTTGCTTTCAATTTATTCTTGCCAACGAATATTCTCAGGTGGAGACATCAAAGTCTTATCAGTAGAAGAATACAATTCATCTTCGGAATGCTGGCAGCTCCTACCTTTCATGTATTCCGAACCTGTATATCTGCCTGGGGTCACAGTACTAAACGATAAAATATATTTGATTGGTGGATGGAGAGGAGATGATGACGGACATGATGACGTCAAGTAAGTTGATGCCGTAATATGATTATGGAAAATTGCGAAAACGAAACACATCTTTTGTTTCTAATCAGGGCACTTAAATTGACTTATCACAATGACGTGGAACTTGCACAACAGAGTGACGTATTTAATATAGCATACAAAAACTTACGTCACATTTCAAAAATATGTTCCATACGCGTTTCCTCCGAGCAAGGTCACAACTATATATGTGTGCTCGAAGCAATTATACATTGCCCCCTCCCCCTGTCTTAGGCTGACCACGCCCTTGTGTTACATTTGTAAGTCACAATATCGGGGACATGACAAAGGATGTAATCAATGACATAACATATATTAAAACATTTTTCAGATGCTTCGACCCTGCAACAGAAACTTGGACTCCTATGATGATGTTTTTACCGTTTCCGCGAGGATCATTATCAGCAACGGTCGTGCAATTGCCGCGAAGTTATGTCGGGAAATTTTATTAAAAGCACAACCTCAGAAGATTGTGATTATTTTAGAATTTAAATAGAATCTATCTGCGCTTTTTATCTCTTTTTATACGTCGATGTTTCACAAAAAGTGAGGCTTTGTATAAGCCATCACTAATATATACTGAACTAATACTTTTTGTTTTGAAATGATCCAAATATTACCAGTTTAGCATTATCTCTAATCAATTAATTACACAAGAGGCGTACCCATGAATTTCCAAAGAGAGGGTTGTTTCAAATTTCTGAAATTTCAAATTGCCGAGTTACGTCGTGACTGCAAGCGGGTCTGGATTTTTAGGAGTTTTGAGGGTTTCAAGAGCGTTTAAAGCTACGAAATATTGCTATGTATATTGCAGAAAAAATGCTTTTATTTACATTTCGAAAAGGGGATTCGTCGATAAAACGGCTGAATCATATGGAAAACTACGGCTTTTCTTAGGTTACCAGTTCAATTTTTGTTTGGAATAGTTAACCATTTTGTTTCAACATACTCATGAACTTTAAAAGTGGAAAAAGCCTAAACGAAGGGTAAAAAGTTACGCAAACCACCTTAGGACGACGAAAAGTCCAGATTTTTTGTGAATAATTAATTGTGAATTTAACATATTAATTTATGTCAAAAAAGTATTTTCGGGTAGCGCCCGCATTGTGTTTTTCAATCTCTCTGTATAGTTATATTTGGTTTTTGCTATTTTTGATTTACCATCATGAACGTTATGGAATGCATTAACAATTTATCTTTTTTTGCTGTAAATTGAATTTTTCTTAATTAATAAAATGTCTAAAATGTAATTTGTTTTATTTGAGGAAAGAATAGTTGTATTTCGCAATCAGGATTTTTCTTATTTATGGGCTTCGTAAAGATACTTTGTGGTTGGAGTCAAATTATTTTGTTCGGAGTTGAATTCGGATAGACCTTGAAACTGACTCTTTAAACTTACTCAAAACGATAAACTATTAGCGGGTCAGTGGTAAAATGGAAAAGGCTTCAAGGCCTAGTAATTTTAAATTTAACCACGTGATGAACTTGTTAAGGGACATTTAATTTGTTAAGTTGAAATGAACGCAATGTATGATCGTTCGATATATGAACAAAAACCATTTGGCAAAAATTTATACCTAATTTATAGAACTTTTTTGTGACCTCCTGAAGTATGCGCAACAAGATGAAGCACAACCTGAACTCGGGTTGTGTACCAGGTTAGGGTTCAGGTTATGCGACATCTTGGTGCGCATACTTCAGGAGTACCCTTTTTTGTGTATCAGCGCCATGATGGAAATTTATTGAAGGCCCATTATCGAATGCTCGGCTGACCACGATTAGGCTGCGGCCTACATTTTAACGACCATTGTGGCAGACAAACAAAATTGTAACGCACGAAGCATTTGAATCATCTCAGTGATAACGCATTTACAACGGATTCATTTTCAATATGGTAAGGGTTGAAGTTTGGATGTACACGGGATTTGAGGTCAAATATGGGATTAAGAGTCGGGATTGGTTGTTGGTATCTCGCTAATGGCTAAGATCTTGTAACCAACATTTTTTCTGTACACTTACTTGAAACGGTAAGCCAATTTACCGTCAAACAGAAACACTCGCACAAAAAAGCATTTGAACAAACACGAAAATACCGGTTTCTTAACTCAAAGCCGGATTCGGATAGACTTTAAAACCGACTCTGTACATTTACAGGAAACGTTAAGCAGTTTGCCACCAAACAACAATACTCGCAGTGCGCGAAGGAGCAGTTGAACGGACACGGCGAAACCGTATTCTCAACTAGGAACCGGATTCGGATAGGCCTTAAAACGAACTCCGTACACTTACTTGAAACGGTAAGCGATTTATCGCCAAACAACAATACTCGCAGCGCACGGAGAAGATTAATCGAACAGAGAGCAGCAATACCGGTATCTCAACTCGGAACCGGATTCGGATACCTCTCGAAACCGACTCTGTCCACTTACTTAGAGTATTTGCCGTCATACAACATTCACAGCGCACGAAGAAGCACTTTAACGAACACAGCAATACCGGTACCTCAACTCGGAACCGGATTCGGATAATTTTTTGAACCGACTCTGTGCACTTACTAAAAACTTTAAAACTTTTTGCCGCCATACAACACTCACAGCGCAAGGAGAAGCACTTGAACGGACAAACAACATCGGTTTCTCAACTCGGAACCGGGTTCGAATAGAGCCTAAATCCGACTCTGTACACTTACTGAAACGGTGAGAAATTCACCGCCAAACAACAACACTCGCCGCGCAAGAAGAAGCATTTCAACGGACGCGGCTATACCGGTTTCTCAACTAGGAAGCGGATTCGGATAGAGCTCAAACCGACTCTGTACACTTACTCAAAACGGTAATCCATTTACTGTCAAACAAGAACACCGCACGAAGAAAGCTTGAACGAACACGGCAATACCGGTATATCAATTCGTAACCGAATCCGGATATACCCTAAAACTGACTCTGTACACTTCCTTGAAACAGTAAGAAATGTACTGTTAAACCACAATACTCGCACGAAGGAAGCACTTGAACGAACACGACAATACCGGTTTTTTAACTCAAAACCGGATTCGGATAGATCTTTAAACCGACTCTGTACAATTTCTTGAAACGGTAAGCAATTTACCGCCAAACAAAAACACTCGCACGAAGAAGCACTTGAACGGCAAGACCGGTTTCTCAACTCATAATTAATCACGTCATGCGAGCACGCGCCAGAGGGTGTATCGCTCATGTGTTAGAACAGGATTAGCGTTTAAAAATATTGTTGAATTAAATTGAAATTCGAGAGTTATTAGAGTCGCTGTGAACTTTAGAATATTTGATTTATTCATTGAATTACTCTCAAAACAATTTGCAATTTTTTATTATCCGCTTGAAAATACACACAACACGTAAGAGGGTCTTCAGGTTTTTGATTAAAAATACAATTTTAAAAATTTAGTAAAGTTTTTTAAGAATTTTGTGCATATAAAAAAACCTATTATTATTGATGATGTATTTGTTCCGAATATATTCATCGGCCCATGCACTAAAATTTTGGGTGGAATACCTGACGTTGTCCCATGGCCAATTTTTTTATCTTTTCTATCTTAGACTAGGTTATTTCCTTTCTCTGATTCATTAACTTATTCTAAACTGAGATAAAACAGACCAGGAATGAGTCGCGAGGTAACAGGTTAGCACAAAATTTTGGGACCTCCATAAGTATGCGCACCAAGATGTCGCACAGCCTGAACATAGTATGTGTGTGTACCGGTTATGATTCAGGTTGTGCGACATCTCGGTGCGCATACTTCTGGAGCACCAAATTTTGTTATGGATTTACAGCGTCTTGTGTGATAGGGAGATTCGCCATATTTCTGAACCGATAATAGATATATCCCTCTGAATAGATTGCAAAAATGAATGAATTCTATTTTTGTATTGGGGTCTAAATCCGTGAGGTTGAAAAGGCCGCTTACTAGGAATTTAAAAAAAAACAAAGCTAGGAACACTACTGAAATGCAAAAAGTTACTGAAATGCTATAGAACCAGTAGTGGGATTCAGCCGGTTCGCACCAGTTCTATAGAACCGTCTCACGGAATTTTATTAGGTCAGCGAACCGGTTAGCATTATTGGTTACTGTCAATGTTCTGTTTGTAACAGAATCGGCTAAAAATATGACTTTTGTGAAGGAACGGCTGACAAAAAATTCGGATCCCACCACTGTATAGAACGCATTAGCAAACACCGATGAACGTGAGACTTTGTGGAGTTTTAAGTCAACATGGTAAATATGTATAAATTTAAAGATATATTACTACTATCTGTGTTAATAAGACATTACGTCTGGATAATATGGTCCATTTAAATGATATTATGACGTCGCATTGTTTATTATGACGTATATTCAAATTGCACTCGATTTGATGTTCTATATGCATCCCTGGACGTGGATCTGCTTTTGATTATAAAGTATATTATAACAATATCCGAGTCGTAAAATCCGCATATTATTGTGTAACAAGAGTTAATGTCACGCTCAAATGACTTTGATGAAGCGCCTGGGGCGCTAAACTGGATAGTTTTGTCGTCTCGTGTTAGATTAACCCGTTATATGGAAGCAATACAGAATATAGTAATTAATTCGCCGGATGCGGTCAAAGTGTTAATTGCACACGTATATACCTGTTCTTATTAAGTTGTTTCCTTTGTAACGCGAAAGTAAAAACTAGTTATTGCCTCATAATAGTTCTAATGCTTTAGTGACAGATACGCCTATTTTGTCACAATATGTTTGCAGTTTTGATTGTTTTTCAGTTCTAATATACAGACAGCTTGTGCATGATAGTCTTGTCATAGTTTTATACGAAATAGTCAAAATATAGAAACTCTGGTTTGAACAAATTTGAAATTAATGGTATTTGAGGAAGGTGTATTTTCTTGAATTACATAGAATAGTCACTTTGGCAACAGTATCATCGAATTACTTACGCATGTTACTTACAGGCCGGATATAGAAATAAATTTGCGTTTGTTTACAGCAGAATTCTTCGGATAACGTAGTACAGTGCAAACGCATATAAAAAGATAAGTGAGCAAAATTTTACAGAACGAAAATATTAGAAATTCCATATCATTTTAATAAGATATTAAAATAACCTTGTATGTAGCTGTTCGATAACCAGCTTTGGTTCCCCGCAGTTCCTCTTCTCCATTACCGGTTGAAAAAATAAATGAACTTGCTTGACTTGAGTAGGCTATATTTAGTTTTGCGTAAGCCCAAGTAAAAGATTTCGAAATCACAGTTTGTTATGTAAAATCTGACGTTTTTGCGGTGAATTCTAAAACGTGATTTTAAAATCTTGAACCGCATAAAATAGTTTTTTTAAGCTGTGTAAAACCTTAGAAGGTTAAGTAGTCAGTACATTTGTGTTAGTGTGCAGCAGGACTCTTGAATCACGTAGAATGGTCACTTTATTTCTTGCTACAGCATCTTTGCATTATACGCATAAGTATTCACCAGCCAGAACAAAGGCATATAAGATGTGGTATTCCACATATTCTACGTATGTCGCGCCCAAAATTTAATTCAAAAAATATCAATTAAGAAAAAATTCGAATACTTGGAATGCAGTCAGTCAGTAGTTTATTTTTCACCAAACTGAAAATACTTTTGAGGCGAACGAAATCTAGGAATAAAAAAATGAAAATGGCATTTCAAGGTGAATGGTGACGCGGAAAAATCAATGTTAGTTATCGAGCAGCGACATATGTGATAAAATTCTAACTTTGATAGAGGTTGGATAGAAAAAAAAGTCAAACAGAATATAAATCAAAAGATTAAAGTCAGAATACTTAATCCGGTAATATTTTAAAATTTGACATCAATCAAGTATATCATCAATCTGTACCTACTAACGCATTCAGCACCTCCATTTTCATAACCAGTTTAAGTAAGGAGCTACTGGTCTTTTAGTGGTCGATTATAATTTTGGTCAAAGATGAGGATTTCCTAAACCTTGACTTACGAGTCTAATCAAGCCACGGACCATTGGGTCGAGTTAATCACCGAGCCAAGTTTCATTGGTGATGAGTTTATAATTGATCAGAGTATGACTATAGTATAACTATGATATATGTCTAGACTCTGGAGTTACTTAGCCAAGACTTTTAAGGTGGTGGAGGGGATTCTGCAATTTCTAATAGCCAAGTTAGACCGCCGGAAAACGTGGGCTTTCAAAGTTCTTCAGAGTCCAAAAAGCCTTTTGAGCAACAAAAAATTGGTATATATGATACAGAAAAATGCTTTGTTTTACATTTCAAAAAGGGTACGTTCCTGAATCAAGCTTTCCTAACGTCGTAGATGATGCTAGTTTACACTTCAATGGTTTCTAATCTCGGCTCCACCAAAGTAAATTTCAGTTCAGAATTTCATCTAACATCAACGACGTATTTTAGGTGATAATTTTCTTGCAACCCAGTTTTGGGTCGCGTCCCATGAGTTGGGAATCACTGATTTTGACAACAGAATGCTACAAGGGTGGTATTAACTCCTCATCCTTCTTATATGCATTTGGGCTGCTGTACAAAAAGCAAATATGCTGTAAAAAAAGGGAACGTGGCTATTCCAAATCGTTGTAGCGGTTCACTAGTTATTGAAGAAGTTTAACTCTGCCCAGATGTGAACTACAAAAATGTATTTGTATTAGTATGCGACAAGAATTGCATTTATAGTGTATTTGTAATTTATATTTCTCAGCTAGCCTAAGTAAATAGGCCAAGACAACCAATACGCAAGATGGCGCCAAATCCATTGGAGAGTAAGACATCGGAGGTTAGCGGAGGTGAATGCAAGATTTATTATTATTAATGAATATGATCTCAATTATTGAATAAAAATAGCTTCAATATAATCGTTGAGCGTTGTGTTCTTACGACATTTGAAATTGAACATGGTTATATCGACATAATTTCATTAGTCTCACGTTTCGCCTTGGCTTGTTGAGTGTGGAAATGGGATTTCTCAGAATTCAAAATTGAAACCTTGAAAATAGTTTGTTTTTTGCATTAACATATTTTCGACTACGTCTGAAATTTTTCATACCAGCGCTTACGGTCAACGAAACGATATGTCTGGTTCACCAATTAGGAAGGTGTTTCGAGTACGTCTGAATTTCGTGAAGTTGTGATTTTTAAATTGATGAACGGTTCGACTACGTCTGAAATTTTTCATACTCGCGCTTGCGTTCAACGAAACGATATGCCTATCGAAATTGTATATTTATGAAGTTTTGCCATATCATCGGATCGAGGACGTCTGAAATTTTCCCACCATTGAATCCTTATTTACTCGCAATCCAATAGTTTCTAAAATTATATGCTTGCCCATGTTGTATACGCGAGTTTTGATTTGGGGAACAAATTTTGTTAAAGCATGGTGCTTAGAGTTGAATAGACTCAGTCGACTTCTTCGCGATTAGATATATATATACCCTTTCAGAAAATTGTTAGACTGGGACTGTGTAAATGAGTTAATCGTAAAAATGAACTGTCTGGGTCGTGGGTTTTTATGAGCCTCGAGGGCCTAAAAAGCGTTCAAACTGCAAAAAAATTGAAATTGGTGAAGAGACATTCAAGACTCTAGTCAAGTCATTGACGGGGTCTCGCTGGCGACTAGCTGATGAAAAGTTCGAGTCATTTCATTTAAATGGCTCATGCTCTCGCAACACTGTTTATTACTGCTATACAAAAACCATTCCATCATTAATCTCTCAAGATAACTCATATACATACTTACAGAAGCAGAGCAACCTGCCCCAGCCGAGAATGGAGCAAGCGGATTCAGTGACGATGACGTAGATACGGAAATTGAAGTCACACCGGAAGAGGTGAGTGTTTATGTTTACGATTTTGTTTTGGCTTGAAATCGAATGTCTGAGTTGATAAAAGTTTGCTGGTACTCATCCTTGGAAAAAGTTTTCTCTCTATCTGTCAGGGATGCGGAGTTTACAATCAATTTGCGACGACTCCAGGCTAAAAAAAAATTTCTGCTCCTACTCCGGGTTGTAAAACCCCAACTTAGAAAATTGAAATTACGAATCCCGCTCTGACTACAAGCCAAACGTGTCAAACTCCACAGCTTGGCTTATGCGCAGTAATTTTGATCAGATAAAGTCGTTGAATGGTAGAAAAAGCTGTTACGACATGATAATACGCATAAATCTGGCACTTTCTCAGCATCGCCAAAAATCACGAATCGGGCCATTTCGTCTGCAATTTCAACCAAACTATGATGAAACAATTTCATTTAAACCATTTGTTATTAGTATTGTTATTAACGTGAGAAAACTGGCTTATTTGAAAGGAAAGTTTTGCTCGCTCTCCAGAATAAGGTTTTGTTCGCTCTCCAGAATCCTCCATTTTTTATTTGTTTGTATTGTCATATTGTGGAATTTCTTAAAATAAACTATCTATTTATCTATGAACAATTCGATCATTGTGGAGATAACAACTAGCTTAGTAGTCGCGATGGGCTGATGGGGTAAGCGCTGGAATTAACTGTAGAGATTATAGGTTAATATTCTCTGGTTCAAATCACATCCCCACCACCTCACACATGGTGTAATGATTTGGGTAGTCTTGAGTGATTCAAAATGAATTTTTGTACAGATCGTACTTTGGAGTGAGACGAAGGTAAAGTGTCTTATAAAAAAACGTCTCAGAACAAAACAGTTCAAAAATATATTTTTTAATCAAAAACCACCAACGAACGGGCAATAATATCAACGTTCTCAAATATCATTGTTGCGTACTGCTATGATGTATCACAACACGCAAGTAATTCTCCGAGAATTCTCTCCGAAATTCTGTTACAACCGGTTCATCAGATACTTATCGGTAAAGATAATTAACTAACTCTATCGAATTACAAGACGAATGTTGTATAGCTTCGGGCGATTCGTCTTCCGTACAGTCCTCAACAAAGTAATATTACACCAGATGTACTTGATTGAACTAGACATCAAAATATTTTTTAAGACTTGATGGTAAACGTGATAAACTAAGCGTTGAGAATACACTTGCTTTAGCACCTTGGTGCAGGTTTAAATCCTGTGATATAAGTATATGCTAAAGCAGTGGTTCCCAATCTTTTTTGCTTCAGAATCACCCGCAGACCTCAACAGCATACAATATGTACCTAATTGAATAATACATAAAAATGTTCTCCGTGGCTCGACGGTAAACGCCTCGCAGTAAGCTAAGCGTCAAAAATACACTCGTCTTAGCACTCTAGTACAGGTTTAGTATGTTCTAAAGCAGTGGACCTCAATCTTTTTTGCTCGACGGCACTTAGCATATCGCAACAGCGTGATATTATACCAGATGTGTTGAATGAAACACGCATCACAATTAAACAAATCGTGGTAAGCGTTGAGAATACACTTCCCTCAGCACCGTGGTGCAAGTTTGAATCTCTGGGACAGTGGTTCTCAGTCGTTTTCGTTAGTTTATTTATATCTCTACCATCGCCTATGTTGGAATTTTCCATTCCGATACCACTATGCATAACAACTACTTATTTATTCAATCTTAACTGGATGCTAAGCTAGTGTTACGCAAGTTGCACTCCCACTTTTGGTTAGTTCAAGTAGTTTAGTATATGCGTATAAATAATGGCTTCAGCAACTATAGTAATAATAAACTATAGAATTTTAGTAATACAACTGCAAATACCAAATTGAGAGGCAGTGCTGGGGCGACTCTGGATATAAGACACATAATAAATTGCTTTGATCGGGGTTTTGCCGTACATATGCGCACAGCGAGGCTTCAAGACGAAACGGTTTTTGAAGCTATACTTTTTTGACTGTCGTGAATAATTTGTATTTGTATTGCTTTTCGGTTTGATTAATAAATAAAATCTTTCTTCCACCTGATTTAGCTCGGCAACCGACAGTTAATCATATGAGTTAACAACCAGACTTGAATTAAGCTTATCGGCTTTCTCTACCGGGATGAATTTTGCACTTTTCAAACTTCTAAGTCGCATAAGTTATTGTACATATACCAATTCAGACCATATTTGGTTTGGTAACCTGTAAAACAGACAGTACAATTCATGTCATGCCAAAAGTTATTTCCAAGTTATACAGAATTCTCTACCTCATAGCTGCTTTTCTTATCGTATTGAATTGAACTGCTTCCAGTTCCCTTTTCTGTCTAGTTGATAGAATACAGACATAACCAAACCACAATCTGGCATCGTATTCCTGAGCTGCTAATAGAATTCAGATATTCGTAGAATGGCTTCACACAGTGATTCAACTCGACGGATTCCCGTCCCACGAGATAAATAAACAACTCCAATCTTTAACGCATTACACACGCAAACACGTTTGCAATCGCAATTCTGATTACATCGAATGCTTTCTCATTGAGATAATTATGCGCGAGAAGAATGCTGGACTGGTGGTTTACGTTAACATCAGTCGGTTATGTCACCACCAGTATGCTCTCAAGCTTTTTATTTTATGGTAAGAGGGTCTTTCCAAATCTAGGGGGTGGTAGGTATTTATTCAATAGCGTTAAAATATGCGTAACTTATAAAAACGTATTACGTATATTTGACTGACCATCTGCAATGGTATATTCGGCACTTTTTGGATATTCAAATACAAATATTTTTAAGTTGGGAATTAAACTGCGGTGTCACACTTCAAAATTAGGGAGGGGGTGTTTGAATTTTTGTGGGGAGGGAAAGTGGAAATCGCTGGCTTTGCCATTGAAGATAATAAATGTGATGAATAAAATTAAATCCCAGTTTTTTTTCCGAGTTTAAATTGTAAAATAATATCATATGTATTTATCTTATTCAGAATTCCGAGAAAAAGCCTCGTAAAAAGAAGAAGAAACCAGATGAAAATAAAAAAGAAGAAAAGAAAGAAAAACAGGAAACACCTGAAGAAAGGGAGGAACGCAAGAAGCGAAAGAAAGAGAGAAAATTGGCGAGAGAAGCAAAAAAGAAAGAAGGTAAGTTGAGCCAGCATGAAATATATTAAGGGGAGTGGGAGTAAATTTTTTTTCTTTTTGGTGTGGGGGTCGGATTGAGGTCGGACCGACATTTTTTATATTATTTATATTATGCTCCAAACGAAGCTCTATGCAAGCGGCTACAGATATTTATACGAACCAAGCTAGCGCCGGCGGCGAAAAAAAAACGCCACAAGGAGTGCGATTCTGAAATTTGATGGCGTCATCGCACACAAAAATTGAATCCCATAGAATTCACAAAAATGTTTGAAATAAATGAAAGTAATAGCCTTATAGCAAAAAAATACAATCTTCAACCACTTAAATTTCAAAGCAATTGGCCCCGTAGTTGAAGAGAAAAGCGATTGTTTCACAACAAGAAGAAGAAACATAAAAAAACGATCCACGGGTCCACTTAATACCAATTAGGCGGATGATGACCGAACATTCTGGTGGGCAGGAAATGCATCAAACTACTTAGTTCTCTATGATTATATTTCAGCGCACGGGCGCCGACATAAGCCAGATATATATCCTATTTTCGATGGTCAATTTTCCAAAAAGCTATGGGGGAGGAGTGGGGGTAATAAGGTAGGGGCTTCTTGACCCCAGTCTATTACAGCAAAGAGTAGGGAAATATGCATTTGAATTGGAAGCTGAAATATAACTATTAGTTATGACTCAATTATTTCTTGTGACTTTAAGCGATAAAAATATTTCAAGACAGATTGGAAATTATAGGGAGAATATTCGGACCTCCTGAAGTATGCGCACCAAGACAAGCTGAACTCCGCTTGTGTACCAGGTTAAGGTTCAGGTTATGCGACATATTGGTGCGCATACTTCAGGAGTACCGAAAGTTCGTATATCCAATTGTACGTCTTGAAAAGTCGATTGGGGTAAATGTGCCCCAGTTAAAAAAACCTGCTGTAACCTATTTTGGAACTAATCAAAATTGTCCATCATTTTTAAATTATTTAATATTATTTATTTTATTTAGTTGAAGACGTTGATCCACCACCGTATTCTCCGCCACTTGATGACGACAAAGAGGCGGCAAAGAAACCCAAACAAGGGAAGGTCAGTATCATAAAAAACCATCATTTGCGACTAAGTCAACCTAAGACAACTTATTGTTGCAAAAAATAGCTTTTCTTCGCAACCAAATGTCCAACCTAATGATTTCATCGTTGTTATGGTATTTTTCTTCTTGTTGTTGGAAGATTCGATTTCATTTTTCGCTAAAGGCTATTACTTTTATTAAATTCAATAATTTCTGTGGGTTCTATGAAATTTATTTTTGTGTACGATACCCTCGTCAAAATTGAAAATTGCGTTCTTTGTGTCGGTCACGCGCCCTCTATCTGTTGGCCAGCGGAAGTTGTGAAGACTGCGGTACCTGTAGTCTACTATGAAAGATTGTATACCCGTTCGTTTTAGTCTACGTGTCCATATATTTGAGCATCGCTCTATTGTATTACACATTGCTTAGTAATGCTCACCATTTCTTTATTTTTCCAACCAGGCATATGAGGCCAAGTTTCCCATCGCAAATCTTGCTGGTTTTTATATTGGATATGCAAATTTACATACGATTTTCTGGGTGATTAGTTTGTTTTGTCATGTGATTAGTACATTTCATCAGCTTTCCTTAGCCATAATAAATATGAAAACTCATTTTCACAATTTTCCTTTTTAGAAACAAAAGCTGAAATCACAGTTCAGCGATTTGATGGACGCCCCTCTGCGATTCGCTTTTGGTATTCTTGTTTGCGTCATACTGCCTTTCAGCATTTACGCTTGTGATGTCATACTCAGCGTGAACGTCATAGATAGAGAAAGCTATAAAGGCGCGATCATCTCTCCTATAAACAATATGTCTCAGCTACCGATGCCTGAACTCCTTGTCGGCCAGAAGTATCATATTCAGCACACAATATTCATGTCGGTAAGTCGAATTAAAATTAATCTAATCTAACCAACGAAGCGATAAATTACAGGACTGACATATACCCGATGGGATAAGATTATTCTGTCCAGCCACGCTCCAATGATTTTTACCAGTGAAAGAATTAACGATGCAAAAAATAATTGACAGCATTGACATATATTTGTTGGGATGAAATTATTCTGTCCAATCACGCTTCAATGATTTCTACTAGTCACGAAATTGAAAAGTTGAACAAACTATAGAACTCGAGTTCATAGAAAAATATAGAAACTCAAGGTAATGCCTTTGCATATACCAATCAATTTAAGTCCGAAATAGAAATGTTCAAAATGTCTGTATACATATTACCCACACTTTAATTTATCTATTCTATATCGTACTCATATTAAATAATTAGCACTGAATAATAGAGAAACAAACATGGCATCTCATTTTGTTATAATCCTTCACAGATACAAATCAATTCAAAGCCGAAAACCAGATATACCAGGGCAGTCGGAGACGAACCAAACATTGTTGATGCCGCGGTAGATCCTTCAGTGACTCCAGCCACATCTGGTAAGATATTTGTTGCATCACAATACACGAGTCAGATACGCATTTTCAAGTTTTTCACGGGTTTTCACAGTTTTTTGCGCTCTTATAGGTTTTTAGAGTTTTTCACGGTTTTCACTCTTTTTGCACGCTTTTGCAATGTTTTCCCACTGTTTTTGCACCCAGAATCGAATCGAATATTTTTTTCGAATCGAATCTCGAATACTTGGAAGATATATAATTGTATGTGACTTTTTAATTGTAATGGGTCATTCAGACAAATAAATTATTGAAAACATAGAATTCCTCACCCAGACAGTTCGTTGGATTTTCTTGCACACATACGGAAAAGATCTTTCCCATAATTATCCGTATTTCAATAATCGACGTGTTGATTTAAGATAATAGCCCGATAAGCTTTGCTAATCTTGTACTGTTTAGTAATAAAGATTCGCTCGATTTGAAATTAGTTTTCATTCATTTCGCAAACACTTGATGTTTTTTCTTCTTAAAACTCTTGGTATTACAGTGCAATCTATAGATCAGAACTTCCCAAAGTGGGGGTTGCCACCCCATAGAGGACTGCGCAACGATTTTCAGGGGATGCGAAGGGCTCGCTAATTCTACGCAAAGTACTATATCTATTGCACTTATTACGATATTGTACAAAATTATTAAAACTAGTGCAAAACATAAATCTCAAGATTTCGAGGGAATACGTAGGATCAGAGAAGCGATTGGCTTGCATAACAATGCCGACTTTGATCGTAAAACAAGAGGACGCGTAAAATTCAAATATATTGGAAAGGGTCACGAGCTCAAAAGTTAGGAAAGTCTCGCCGTAGAATAACGTTTTTCCTAAATACAAGTGTAACGTGTGACGTCAACAGTAACGTAATACTATTTCTTAATCTGTATTTGCCGAAGCGTAACATTTCGAATTGACACTAATATCTATTTTAAGTGAGCACGGAATCAACCACAACAACAACCAAAAAAGCTGTTGCACCACCTTCAACTACATCAGAAAAGACTCCTCTAGATGTTACGTCATCAATGACGTCATCCACAACAACTACGACCGCAAAATCTACCACTACAACAACGTTGAAGCCAGTACTGGTTGCTAATTCAACGATTCTTTCAACCAACGATACGATTCTTGCTACACAGGAGCCCCAGAACACAACGATTCGGAGGAAACCAGCAAAGTTTATTCCTCGCCCAGGTACAGATTAAATTAAAATAGACGGTATTTCCGTAGTATGTGTACCAGGTTAGGGTCTGGTCATTATTTTATTTTCTATATTTTAGTACTATTAAGAGTGCGGGTATTGCCTGTGTTAGCCAAGTGATTATACCCCTGTCCATAGGTTTCAGTCCCTTTACATAACTTGATGTAAAGTAGGCAAACAAAATTAGTTGCCTCCATATTGGTAAACACACTTCTGGAGCGCCAAATAGACGGGTGAAAATTCGCAAAGTAACTTTTCCGTCACGAGCAAAAATGCTAATTCTCTATTCCGCCTTAAGTTTAACCATTTTACTTTGTATTTGTATACATGATTATGTCTGCAAGAGTTAGAATAGCTCAAGAATACAGATTAAAACAAACTGGTGGAATTCGCAATAAACCCTTCTGCGAGGACAAAAATAAAATACTAATTTAATTTCACATCAGGTTTAAACTGCTAGCGCTGTGTCTGTGTACTTGATAGCGTTTAAAACATCTCGTTGAGCTTTAGCAGAGCTACACATATTTTCATAAGTGCTAAGACTGTAAATATATGAAATGGTTTATAGGAAATCGACTTTTTTACTAAAATTCTAGCCCTAAATGAATAATTACTAATTTGTTTATTTAAAAACGTGGCGGAGTGTTTTTCTTAAGTCTCACATTTTTGCGTTAGTGGCGTGAGATTGGTACAAATGATCCAAAAATTCTTGCACGCGCCAAACAACAACAGTTTAGGAAACCGACCTTCAATTCAATAAACCATCGTTTTATTTCACCAGGCTTCCGTTTCACTACTTTGAAAACAACAACAACCGAGAAAGCCAACGCAACACCAATCGACCCAGATATTTGGAAGAGACAAGATGGCGAATTCTGCAAAGGACTTTACTATTTCTATGATCTGCACATGTCGTATGCGCATGAATATGGGTCGGACTGGTTTGAAGATGAGTCTTACTCCGCATGTAAGTGTTTAGAAAGCAGCTTGGTGTAGAAGTTCCTAAACTAGTGGTCTTTTGTTGGCTCGTGGCCTATTCCAACGGATTTTGGCACTCGTGGCGATGTTCGCATTGCACACATTCTAAGCCATTTCTATTTACTTTGGCAAAATCGAAGCAAAGTAAAGTCGTCCCATTTCGTGGATATATCAGAAATTTGAATATATTTTTCTGCGTCTACAATGTATTTACGACAGCTACATCGCAGTTTTGTGAAACTGTAGACTAAGTTCAGCCTTTATCAGCAGGTCAGTAAACATATCAACCAAATAGGCTTTATTAGTAGATTTGAATCCCATTGTGAATAAACAATCCATGTACTAGAAAGTGAAAACATCCTGTGAAATAACGTTTTCAAGTAATTAAACTAGGACAGACAGGAAGTTTTCCTATAATAGAAAAGTTCAACTTCTGGTTTTACAAAATGAAAATAGTATCAGGTCTCAAGGATTATGGTGATTAATATTTTTTCAGATCAAAAAGAGCAGACACTCTTCTTTATGTTTACAATCATCGGTTTCATCTCGCTTCTGATTGGTTTAGGACTCCGTTGTGACGTTTTTCTGTCTGACGAATGGAGTTCATTCATTTTAGTGAACTTGTTCCTGTACTCCATTTCAATGGCGGTCACAGTCGCTGTTTTTGCGCAAGAGTCATCAGAAGGTGGTTTGAGGTGAGTGCATTTCTAGCTCTACAACAATGGTTCCCAATCGCAGGCCCGTGACCGTTCATCAAAATTGTTCATCAAAATAAGGTTCTAGTAGCCAAATAAGTATTTGTTGTAAAGGTGTTTTACTGCCGAATATTTGTGTTTTGTAAAACTAAATCCTGTATCTATCCGGTCTGCAGAACTAAAAAAGTTGCATCATGCATCATTAATCACGCAATACAAGATTTCTCATTTTTATCTGCAAAAAATACTTTAGAACTATATCCGGGTGCAAACTACTACTGAAAACTCCCATGGGACAAATACTTTTTTCATCATAAATAAGAATAACGAATATCTGAACTTTTTATTCAGGTGTGCAACATGCCGTTTCACCACTTACTGTTCGGATATCGACCCCTGGAATTATCACACCCACTGGCCCGCTGAGCCAGACACAATACAGTGGTCTATGGTGGCGCTGGTGAGTTTTTTATTCGTAGCCAAGGAGGTATTGAGGCCTTGTTTAATAGCATTGTTTTTACAGTCAACATGTAACAGCTACATGTTTTAACTTAAATTGTCACACAACGTGAAAAAATATTATTACGTCACTGATGAAGTGATACTTTACACTTGCATTTAGGAAAAATTTGACCTAGACCATATAAATAAGAACCAGTAGTTTATCTGATATGTTTAGAAATTTGAATAAATCTAAGGACAATGGCTTTACTGCCGCCATCAATTGACGTTATTTCCTATGATATGACGTATTTACTGACGTCATAGTTACATCAACCATTCTTATATTTTTAGATAAGTTTCATTTTTAAACTGATCGATTGTTACGCAATCGGTATCGTGACCTTGAAATTCATCCTTGACCTTGCCAACGACCTCTGGTGGATCACGTGCTTGAAATTATTCGGTTGGTTGATCATGTTCCCTCTGCTTATTTTCACCCCGATGCTCGGAGTCACTCGCTATCTCGCTTTACCGGTAAGTAGTGTTCTTGTTTGGAAAAAAAATAATTGTCGTAGATGACGTCATGATATATTATGTGTCTTTGAGAGAAGCATCTGAAAGATATTGAGGGAAAATGACGTAATACACAATACATGACGTCATGAAGCGATATATGTGGACACAGCTAGAGAGAGCACTCTTACAACTAAACATAGGTGGAATAAGTCAAGCCATTTGAGCAGTAAAGATAGTTTTGCTGGCGCAAATGATCATTTTACGTATAAACAAATAAAACATAAACAATCAGAAAGAAAAAATTCAAAAGAAACTTGTCCGAGTGGAATAAATTGTGTAAATAATGTCAAACAGAAAAATTTCGTTTTTTTTTTTGAATGATAGCTTTTTGCGTATCATTGCCGAATCAAGTCTTCTATTGCAGTTCAAACGTATAAGATATACGTGAAACATAGCATATAAACAAAAATCTTACTTTTCCAGGGCGTTTCACCCAACGACGATGCAGCTATGCTTGCTGTGGAGATCTTGTTCTACATCGGTGTCGCATTCTGGGCTTTATGTCTTCTCGCTCTACCTTTCTTCTGTAAGATGAGAATGTGTTCCGGATCAGATGAAGATGAGGCCCAGGAAGAGGAAGATGAATACGATTACTAAATATGTATGACGTCAACAATTGATGACGTCATCTCACACGAATGTTGACTACGATATAAGAAAAGTGCCTGAAGACTTAAGCTGTTTAAAATTATAATTTTTGTATAATGTATGCTGATGTCATGTGAGAAGTGTTGTCATTTAACAGTTCACTGAATGACGTCACGGAAATGATGACGTCGCGGAACAAGTGATGTCATTTCCAAAGTTAGTATGACGTCGCAAAACTAAGTTTCAATATCACGATGACGTCATTTCCACAGCTACTTGCTGTCACAAAACTAATTTTGCCAAAAATGTTATAGAGGTTGTATATTAGTTATCGTTTTATCAAGTGTCACTAAATATTTGTGACGTTAGTTTGGTGACGTCATCAAAATGTCGTCAATGTACAAACTTTTTTGTGCTTTTCTGATGTTGGATTACTGAGCATTATATGATTGATTGTAAAGTCTTATATTTATTGTTTAATTTGCCAATTTTTCGCACCATTTAAATATAGGAATGCAGTGTCCTGCTTGAGTGTATTACAATTTTCGTGACTGAATATCACGGAGACAAAAGAAATAATTGTCATACCTTAAAGAACTGAACAAACAAAAAGGATTATCCAAATTTCTGTATTTCATAGTTGATGTAAATCTTTCAAATTTCCATATGGGCAATTTTTAGGCCTACCATACGTCTCGGTTTAGCCGGGACAGTCTCGGTTTTAGCAAGTTTATCCGCCGTCCCGGAGATATACTCAAATGTCGCGGTTTTGCAATATGCGAGTCATGAATAATTTTTCTATTTGATAGCATTACGAATTCTTTTTTTATCCGAGGCAACTGATTGGCAACTCACTTCACTAGTTCAGATAGAGAGAAAAATTGTTACGTCATGGTTATGATATGAAGTATGAACCATGCGTTAATTTACCAACCAACTGTACTGTCGTGGTCATCAAAATGCCGGAAACAAAATGTTTTCTAATTAGTTGAAAGATTTTTATTGTTTGAAGCAAAGACAAATAGAGTATATTTTAATAGATTTTACAGCCAATTTCGATGTCCGTACTCTACCCACAATGATATGGAAAGCGTTTAAACTATTACTAAGCCCCTGGAATTGAACTTCAGAATCTATGTAATTAAACTCATATCGTTTTCCCAGTTGAGCATGTTTCGCAGTATTTTAACTAATTTCTTGCTGTTTGGCTATTTATTATTACAGTAAATGTGAGTGAATGTATAAACTTTTCGCCTTATAGTAAATAAAAGCGTTAGATGAATTTTTCTTCTTGATTATTATCTGGTTTGCCAGCTAAGAAATTTATTGGTACCGGTACCCAATGAAGTGGTTAGACCAGCGGTGGGATTCAGGGAGTTACCACAGTTTAGGGCAGTGGTTCTCAACCGGGAGCCCCCAAGGCGGCCATGAAGCAGTTCATGGGAGGGTCACGACACAAGGCTAATAATTTATCATAAAGCAACTGTGTTTGAATAAATAAGTTATTAGGCAATTTCACTAGACTGCAAGATAAACTTCGCCATCGTATATTAGATGCAAAAACCTAATTGCAAATTTATAATGCCCGAAATACGAAAGTGGAACGACAGTTAGTTGAGTTTGTCTTTACCAAAGTAAATCGAGATGACAGAGAATGTGCTCAATGCCTGCATTGCTCTCTGGTAATGAGAAATGAATCATTACGTCCATCTAAACTCCAAAACCATAATGACAAAAATTATCGCCAGGTGGAAGACATTGATCGGTTTCTCGGCTGCCGAGCGAGTTAGATTTGACAAAAAACGACATTGGCCAAGTTCGGATTTCTGTCGGAGAAAAAGCCCGCTAGGAAGTGGCATCGGATTCCCACCTACTACTTAGCAAAAAAACTTCTTCACTGCTAATTCAATTTGCCACAACCTATCTGTTCGAATCTGGCTTTCCTGATCTTGTTACCACCAAAACGAAATCTAAAAACCGTCTTGATGTTGACAGCTACAATCGTCTTGCTGTATCAAAGACAGTGCCTAATATAAGCAACTATTTCGGACAAGTCCCAAGAGCAAGATTTTCATTTATTGTATAATAAAAGACTTGGAGTTCCTTGCTTGTGGTTTGTTTGGGAACCACTGGTTTATGAGAACCCGTTCTAAAAATATCGTGGTGATTATGATAGAATAGTATTTACCTATTCATTCCGAGGAGAGGAAAGTAATAAGACGGCTCAATCATATGACAAACCACGACATCTCGCCCGGTTACCAGATATCGGGTTTGAGAATAGTCAGTTATTTGTTTACAGGTGCATGGACTTGATGGTGGAGGAAGCCATACCTTACCAACGATAACGCGAACCACCCCAAATCGGAATAAAATTATGACCCAACCCTAATATTGTACACATATCACGTTCCGGTGTCCGCCATCTTGGTTCACATACTTTGGGAGTACCTAATTTTCTCCTTGCAATCAGAGTACACGGTGTAGAACGTGCCATCGTCTTCCAGTGTCGTACAGAAATAATCCCACATGTCGATCGCATACCCTGTTTCTAATAACGGGTTTCAACTTCTTATTACTGTTTTCAGTTTATTAGTTTATGAAGTCAACGTTTAAAATAGAAAAACAAAACATTGACAACACGGAGCGACCACAACATCTCCGCGGATTTTGCACGCGGCTAATAGGCATGTCTAAGCTTCTCTCGGTGAAACGGAAGTGGACAAAAAACGCAATTTATCAGACCATTTACCAATCCTTATCGTTGGCTACCATGGCGTGGCCATGTCATTCGGGTCAATATTTTTGACTCTTGGCACTGGTGGGAAGTGCTTGAGGCTTCTATCGTGGTAATATTTGTCAAGGAAAGTCATTATATTGGTCGCTATTATTGTATCAGTAGCTTTTTAGCATTGCTTCATTCATAAATTTTTATTCATGTTATTACAATCGCACTTGAGCTAGGGTAGCTATTTCAGAATCAGCCGGGTTTGGGCATACTGTTACCAGGATATGCCGGTGTGGAGGAAATTTTTGAAGCTTTTATATTTAAAACTAAATACGACACCAAAGTTATAAAAAATGAAAGATATTGTGACGACCCTTGTTTTATATTTTAAATGATGTCATGTGATATTGCTATATCTTGTTTTTTGACATTGAAGACACTGAGGGCGCTGTGACACTGTCCATCTGTCCTTTTGGGTGTCTTGTTGGCCTTTGCTGTGGTTTGCAGCGGTGCAGTTGTGGTTGTTTTCGGTTGGATTTTTGGTGTTGTGTTTTTGGTTTTGTCGTGGAGTTGGCTGTCATCGGTGTTGTTCATGTGTTGTGCGCAAGTGGAATTGTTTGTGGTCGTTTGGAATGCCTGTCGGGAGTTGTTTTCGGCTTGTTTTAGGGGTCATTGGGCTTCTGTTGAGGGTTGTCTTCGGTTTCAGGGGACATCTTTAATTTTTATTGTTTTTATTGTGTATAAAGTTTTCTTACATTTTAGTGCCTGGTATTTGTTATTTTTATTGTATGCTTTCCGTTTTTGGAGTGTTTGGTTGAAGTAAGATTGGTAATTAATGAATAGAACAAAATAAACATAATAAATCATGAAAGATGTAAGTCATAATACGATTATAGCGACCAATACAATAAATTTCTTTTCAGGCTCGGCGGTGTGGCGCATCGTAATAAGCGTTAGAAATAGGCTCGCCTCCGCAGCTCTCCAAAGTTTTATATTGACCACCATTATTGGTAGCTTAAAAAGATATTTCTATTTTTCTATCTTAGGCTTACCATCGCCCCTTTTTGAATATATAAGTACCAAATAAGTAGCACTTTGTCTGGTATTATCTTAGCTAACTACAGAACCGACTTACATGCATTTTGAATGAAATTTATGGAAATTTATATATTATACATAAACCTTACTCTGCCTTAAATAGGTTTAGTCTCGCATATATATAACAACACCTATAATTTGTTTATTCCCCAATGTATTTTGAAGTTATGAGTGAGGGGCATCGGACAGCAAAAAAGTAAGTATAATCAAATTGCGCACATTGTGATCGTGAAGGATGTGGTACCGTCTGGTACTGTTGCAGAGTTCATACCCGTTTGGCTTTCGTGTCGATATATTACAGCAAGCAACACAATGTATTGCGTGGGGAAAACTTAACTAAAGGTCGATGTTGTTTGCACTTTACTTTTGATTATATGTCATGTGGGCGTTTTGGTTTATGAACACAGAGATATTATATTATGAACACACTATAAGATATTGCATACGACTTTCTGCTAAATTTTCTAGTTAGTTGCAGTTGACAGAGATTCTAATCGTGGGCTTTTAGGGAGTGATCGTATCACTCAACATTTCACACTCGATGAAGAGTTCTTTCCGAATGAGGAATTTTGCCGTTTGTGTTTGAGATTTTGCTTTTTAATTGAGTATTACTGATATTCTTTAGTTTTTAATATTACTGTATATCCTATGATTAATTAATTAATTCCCATTAATTACTCAAACTGTACACTAGCTGGAGTGATGCTTTTGATAACTATAGCTAAAGATCCATTGAAGATTGAATCAACAGTTTCTATACATATTGAGGAGGAAATGGAAAGTTTCTGAATATGCGAGGGAAGGAATATAACGAAAAAGGTTCAATACCACTGTTCTAATTGAATATTCCGAAATGCACGATTATTCATATTTCAATTCGCTGGGGTTTGGGCGAGCATTAATATAGTTAGATCAGCAACACAGATAGAAGAGTTGAGCCAAGTAAATAATTCTGTGATTTGTTTCAGTAATCAAACATCTGGATCTAATGGAACCTTAGGATAGAATAACTTGCGAGAATGTAATTTTGCAAGAATAGACTTGTGTTTTTAACCTTTCTGTTCCCCAAGGCCAATATATTCAAACATCTGTCATACTTGGCCATAGCGTGGCAATAATATGTTAGTTTATGTTCACGTTGTGAAGTATTTCCGCACTAACTAAAATCATTTTAAGCATCCAACTATGATCCATGTCTGATCCGAGTGTTCGTAATCACGGATGAACGGATCATGTATTATTTGTATATTTTTATTTTACGACAAGGTGAATTTTATTTGTTTAGTTCAGGGGTGGGCAACTTCTCTAGTCTGCGGGCCAGATGTGGGAAAATAAAGTCCTCGGCGGGCCGGATTATTACAAAAATACTTCGGTATCCGATCATTGTTAAATGCTCGACACTCTCTGTCAATTTTACGTTTCTCGGGATATTTAATGGTTAATAAAACCTAATATCAATATAAAATCTAATTCCTAAAATCAGTCTTATTCCTAAAATCAGAAAAGCAGTTATATTTATATTTAGATTCTAACTGATAACAGTAGTGGGGAATGTTTACAACGCTCTCTGCTTTGACCTTATATTGTTTGTTTACCAAGTGCGCTAATGCAATGGACCTTTCTCCGAGCATTGACTTCCTTGTTTACTTCGTGACATTCGCAAGATGCAAAAAGTGACGTAACAATGCTCCCTTTTCGCATCTGCTCAGACACTTTTCTCACTCAGACAGATTTTCAGGCGTGGTCGTAAACATTACCTCGTTTTCGCGTTTTTGAACTCTATTCGTTAGTTTTCAGTTGTGTTTCGGAAATTTGAATAGAAATTAGATAAGTCAATGATCACTCTGTCTTCTTAAAGGTTTTTGATTTAATTGCAGTACCAAAAAAATTAGTGTAGAAATAACTTTGATAGACTAGGCCAAAATTCTTTACCGGTATTTAAAAAAAAACATAATTGTTGTATGCGATGAATCATAATGATGGTTTCAAACACATACCCCATTTCACAAGCGCCAACTCGCGAAACCACTTTTAGTATAAGCCCCGACAATTTTGCAATGGTAAAGTATAAGAAGACTTTTTCGGGGGTCAAAGGTCAGGAGAGAGAGGTCAATTGTTTGTTCACTAAGACAATTGTTTATTTCCCCAGTTCGCACTGACAGTGCGGTGAGAGTGGAGTGATCGGCAACTTTCAGGAATGATGCGTCGGACCACATCACAGAGTGAGGTTGGATACAGTCGGCGGGCCGGTCAAAATTTTGTCGCGGGCCGGACCCGGCCCGCGGGCCGTATGTTGCTCACCCCTGGTTTAGATATTTAGAAGCTTAGAAATATACAAAGAATTTGTTATTACTTCAATGAGAAGTAATTTGAACGAGCGAGAAACAGTTTTCCGCGCATAATAAACAAACAACGATTCCAGAAGAATATGGTAAACATGCTCTCTTATAACATTG